GGCCAATTGCTCAACAAGGTTCTGATGTGGTGGCCATTGCAAAAACAGGTTCTGGGAAAACATTGGGTTATTTGATTCCTGGATTCACTCACATCATGCATCAACGCAACAATCCCAAACCTGGTCCAAAGCTCGGCCCAACAGTATTGGTGTTGTCACCAACTAGGGAGTTGGCAACTCAGATTCAAGCAGAAGTGGCAAAGTTCGGAAAGTCATCCAGAATTACTTGCACGGTATGCAATCAATGATGTTTGCTGCTTATAGTCGATTAGTGACAATTGTTTTATAGCTATCGCTAGGCGCTAGTTACTGTCATCAATCTTTTCTGAAGTCTCTTATACATGTGAATGTCAACAATCATTTTTGTGAATAATGTAGTCTTTACCGAGTATCCCTCATCATGTGTACTGAGTTAGGGTGTAGTTGTTATAGGCAGGGTAGATAGATGAAAATAAGGATGAAGAACTTCTCTGCTCTATGATTTACCTTTTGAAGGCTGCAAGGAGTAACTCCAAAAATCTTTAATCATACTCCCTCCGGTTTTTAATGATCTTCACACTTTGACTTCACATATATTAGGGAAATAAATTTGACTTTACCGTAGAGTACACTGTTGTGGCACTGTTTGGCACTGTTTGGTGTAGATTTGTTTGCCAAATAAGGCAAATAAGGAAGTGTAAAGTTTAATATGGGACTGCCCAAAAATGAAAGTGTAAAGTTCATTAAGAACCGGAGGGAGTATTGTTAATGAACAGAGCTTTTCTGTTTATGCTAGTTCCAAAAGAGTGTTAATTTGCAAGCACTACCCATTGTGTCAAACATAGTTGACAGGGAGTTCATACTGATTCTTTTGTGGTGTGTGCTAAATGCCAACTTGATGGTTTATGAAGCCCATTTGTTCGCCAGTTTAGACCAACTTGTTCACCCTTGAGATGTACATTGAGAAAACCCCACATCCGTTCTTTATTGTCTGAAGGAATCCAACATAACTAGTAGTACTCCCTCTGTCTCACTTGAAGGTTCACATGCGGTTTATGATGTTTGACTGGCCATAAAGTAATTGATCCCTGTCAATAATAAGATTATTTTTAGTAAATAAAATTGACATATTTAGAAACTATATTAGAAATTTTATAAATTCACAAAATCAAATTCGATAAAAGTTGGATGTATGAAGTAAAAGATTAAGAACAATCTACGTTGACCGTACAATAGTGGACAAGAACCTTTAGTGGGTTGTAGGTACTATATGATTAAGTCATTATGTGTATTGTGAAAGAACTTCAACTCTGATGCGTCTTTTGGTTTGTTGTGTCCTGAAGTGTTTATATGGAGGTGCACCTAAGGGTCCACAATTGCGAGACCTTGATAGAGGTGTAGATGTGGTGGTTGCTACTCCTGGCCGCTTGAATGACATTCTAGAGATGAGAAGAGTAAACCTCCGTCAGGTTTCATACCTGGTGTTGGATGAAGCAGACCGAATGTTAGATATGGGGTTTGAACCTCAGATAAAAAAGATTGTCAAGGAGGTGCCTACTAGTAGGCAAACACTCATGTACACTGCGACGTGGCCCAAAGTGGTGCGCAGAATTGCTGCTGATCTACTAGTCAAACCTGTTCAGATTAATATAGGGAAGGTTGATGAGCTTGCTGCAAACAAGTCCATCACCCAGGTTTGTATTCCTGTTAGTAATTTCCATCAGTATACATTGCACTTTCATCCTTCATTTATTTTCATGCCTCTTTGTTAGCTTTTCAAACAAGTATGTTTGGATGGCAAACTTATTGGATACACATATTTAGTAAGCTTCTACTACCGGCATACCGCTTCTAACCTCACTTTATGTTTTATGATTGATTCAAATGTATCCCTTTGTATGCAATGCTCCGTATGATATTTCTGAATTACTTCATTGATCAATTTGAACATATCCTTTTATGCAATGCTCTGCTTGATGTTTCTAAACTAGCTTATTGATTGATTAAAAAATATCCTTTTTAGAATTAGTTTATTGATCTATTTTAAACATATCCTTCTATGTCATAAAACTAGTTACTAGTTATTCTTCCCATTCTCCCAATGTTATTAGTTACTAATTACCATTAAAGGCGCCTTATGAGTTGCCGGTAGATTGGTTTGCCATGACGATTTTGTCAGTCATCATTTTCATCACATCAATTGCATTTTCCATTTCAGTTTGTTGAGGTACTTGCACCTATGGATAAGCACAGGAGGCTTGAGCAGATATTGAGATCCCAAGAACCAGGGGCCAGGATTATAATATTCTGCGCAACAAAGAAAATGTGTGATCAACTCGCACGCAACCTAACCCGCCAATTTGAGGTGGCTGCAATTCATGGAGACAAATCTCAAGGAGAGAGGGATTATGTGCTGAATCAGTTCCGATTGGGACGATCACCTGTGCTTGTTGCCACTGATGTTGCTGCACGTGGGTTGGATGTGAAAGATATCCAGTAAGTGTGCTTTCTGAGTGAAATTGCTTTAGTTCAATCTTTTATTTATTTATTTATTTATTTATTAATTTATTAATATTATTGTTATTTTTTATACATATTATTATTTTGTTACCAATGCTGTTTATTATTACTACCATCAGATTTTGCTTATTGTACTGTTCTTTGTTGCTCTCTTGCTTGTCAATAACCCCCCATCCTTGCTTGTTATATATAGAGTGGTGGTGAACTTTGACTTCCCGATGGGAATAGAAGATTATGTTCATAGAATTGGCAGAACAGGACGTGCTGGTGCCAGTGGACAGGCATTCACTTTCTTCAGTGACAAGGATGCAAAACATGCATCAGCTCTTGTCAAAGTACTCACTGGGGCTAACCAAAATGTCCCTGCTGAAATTCATAATATGGCATCACGTGGTGGCAATGGAATGGGCAGGCAATGGGGTTCTTCTCGCCCTAATCAACGTGGAGGTCGCTGGGGTGGTGGTGGTGGACGAGACACTGGATTTGGCAGGTACGTTTATTTTCCATTTTGTTTCATGCATGTTATTTGAAGTTTTCAAAAATTGCCATAACTGGAGCTGTATATATATTTTCTATAACATGAGCAGAGGAGGTTATGGCGGTGCAAGGCGCAGTAGAAGCCCGCCTAGAAATTTCGTGTGATTTGTTAGAGTACCAGCTGGTTATGACGAATTCAAGCCATACCTGTGAACATCTCGATCGTTACCTTCTGCTGTACTCCATATTTTTTGGCCGTATGAGGCTAGTGAGTTTGCTTTCGTGAAGCTGGTGGATTGATGTTGTGATAAGTAGTTTCTGGACTTTCGTTTACAACCATTAAATTCTCAAATTGGGATTACTGTTTATGTTAGTACACTTTTTTTCTTCGGACATACCTTGATATCTTTAGATCTTTATCTGCGTTTCAGAACAATTATATTTGCTGCTTTATTTATTAAATACATATGGGAGTGTTATTGATGGCGTAAGTATTTGAACCTGTGTTATGGTTTCGAAGAGGTTAGGGTGAAACAGTGGATAAAGCTCAGCACTTACTCGAATCTTAGGCTAATTTCTTAAGGTTAAAGTAAAACTATAAATAATTACTATGTACTATTATTGAGATACATCTTGTTAATCATTTAGCTTTTGTATTATTTAAAAATAGTACTCTCTCCGCCCCCCTCTGTCCCGTTTTACTTTTTCCGTCCCATACCATGGTAATATTTTTTAAAAAATTGTGCCACTCCTTTGTACTACCTCGGTCCCAAAAAGAGTTGCAAGTTTGACTTTTTTTAGTCAAACAGTCTCGTTTTATTCACTTAATTAGGAAGTCAATTTGTAATTATTTTCTAATTTGGAGTTTACAACTTTGAAGTTTTTAATGTAGTTTTTGAATATCTAAATTTTAATTATTAAAAATTGAATTAATTATCCGTAGGGAGGGTTGACTTTTATTATTGATTGACAAAAAAATGTTGACTTTGCAAAATAAATTGGGACAGAGGGAGTACCAAATATAGTGGGATGGAGGTAGGATTACTTTTGTTCCAATTTGATGGTACTATTTCTTATTCACTTGGCTAATATAAATCATTCTTAATTTTGTACTTTATATATCAAATTTTTGGTTTTTGAGATTTTATAATAGCTTTTAATGTAGTTCTTAAATATGTAATTTTGTATGAAAATTATTTGAGTTTGCATCGAGATTCGTTTGCTTTATCATCGGTCAAAACTAGTAGATCACAATTAGTGTAAGACCATCAAATTGGGACGGGGAGTATTTTTCAATGCATCTTTTGTTAGATGCTACTCAATGTAGTTTTTTACAATGATCTTTTATTTCTCTGATGTTATTCAATGTAGATTTTGTACTATGGGCATAAGGTTATAGTTGTATGTTTGGGAGAATATTTTTTTAGGAAAAATTGAAAATAATAATTCCAACTATTGCGTATCCGCTGATAATAATCCCAACTATTGATTATTTTTGTACAACCTCAACTATATAGACCGTCCGCCAATAATGGTCCATGACCATATATTATCTCCTATAACAATTGATTTTTAAATAGAAATTAAGCATAAAAATTAAAAGTTGGGATTATTTATAAGGATTACTTGCTATATCTCTTCTCATCCACTTTAAAAACTACAAGAATTTATTTATAGGGACCATTATTGGCGGAAAGTCCCTATAGTTAGGATTATTATGAAATAATCGATAGTTATGATTATTACTATCAATTTTTCCTATTTTTTAAGGTCTTTTATCAAAATAATATGTGAGGTGTGCTTGAACACAATTGCACAACAAACTCTATAATTGTTCATTTAGATAGAGTGAGTGGCCTTAAGTGCATCTGTGCATATGATATGCTTGAACCAACTTTGGCTTGATATAAATAAAAGGGAAAGGTACAAAATGCACTATCAGTATAAGAACAAATATAACATTATTCTATTTTTTTTTGGAACAAAAAGACACATAAAAGTGTTTGTGGGTCTAATGCAACCAACGTTTTTCATGGCTTCTTGATTTTCAATGAGTTTTCCATCACTGTAGTGGAAAGAAAATCTTTTTTAACCAAGGAAGAAACTAAGAACAAAAGGAGATGACATTATTACTATGGTAGAGCAACGAATTGGAGGCAAGTATTAGGTTATCTTTTGAATAATGGTTTTTAGTTTGCCAGTAATTTTTACTCGTATTTTATTTTCTGGAATTGATTTTGGGGTCGATTAACTATAACATCCGAGTTTTAATCCCAAAAGATATTGGGGTCGGCTAACATGAATCAATCCATGATATCGATGCAAAAAACAGAAGACATACAAGAAGAAACAAAAAAGTAAGATAAAGTGGATAAGATAAAGATTAATAAATACTCCCTCCGTCCCTTTGTAATTGTCTCATTTTACCATTTTTGGATGTCCCTCTATTATTGTCTACTATTTGTCTCGTACCATATTTGGTAATATTTATGTGGCTCTAATTTATTCTTACTTTATTCTCACTTTATTAACTCACTATCAACTACATAATTCTACTTTTCCTAAAAATCACACCACTTCCTTCCGTCTCAATAATAGGGGGACGGAGTTAGTATAAGATAATAATAACATGAGAATATAAGAAAGATAATAGTAAAGAGATGAAAGATTATAAAAAATCTAGAAGATAAAAAATAACATAAAAATATAAAAAGATAAGCGATAAAAGAAAACGAGAGAGGGAAGATAGAAAAGAGACCAATCGTCCACACGAATGTGCGCCCTCCACTTTGCTCTCTACATAGCCATACTCTCATCTAGGGATTGCAACGGGGCAATTCAAGATCGGGTATACCATTACCCGTACTTGCCCCGTTATTTGATTTATAATCCTTGTACCCATCCCGTTCCCTGTACCATTGCTCTGGTATTTGTCGCAGGCGTAAGTCCATTAGCCGGCGAAACGGAGCAAAATCAGGTCGGAGGCACAAATACCCATACAGTGCTACACACGATTGGGGATAGTCGTGTCTGTTTGGCGAAGGCCTGCGTGTGACGGTGTGTGGCGGCTCGTTTTCAACGCCTTTGGTGAAGGAAAAGCTGGACAATGGAGGGCTACTCGGTGGGGATGGGAAGAGAGAAGGTTCACGCCGGAGTTCAAGGCAAAAACAGTCCATCAATGAAGAAACGGTTCAAACAGAGGTATTGATGGCCCGACCTCCTCCTGAACCGCCATCAGGGAATGAACGAGGTAATAATAAAGGAGTTTTGGTTGTTCGTTGAAGATCTCATTCAGAAAGGATCGAGAATAAAGTAGCTTGGAAAGTAGTGATAGACTCATCTAGTTTGCATGTTAATATTGTTATTATCCAGTTTAGTTTCAATTTTGAATCCTTAGTTGGTTGGATGTGTTATACTTATGAGGTGGGTAGGTATTCCTTGAGAAGTAAGATGACTTCATGTGTCAAAATAATCTTCAAAATTCTCAGATGGTTAGCGACTTGATCCGCTCTAGTTAGGGCGGTCAATTCAATGTTTAACTATAGGGTGAGTGGACCTTCGGGTTATGATGAGTTTGGTAGCAGGAGACAGTTCAGTTTTGAAAAGTTTGTAATGTCATTGATTTTTTTGATTTTCAAAAAAAAAAAAATTTGTATATTGAATACTATATCAATACTAAGAAGTTGTTCTCTTCACCTGATCTGAATGTTTCTGATCTGAATTTTTTAAGTTATGATCTGATCTGATCTGAATTTTTTTGATCTGATCTGATCTGAATCTTTCTGATCTGATCTAAATCTTTCTGATCTGATCTGAATGTTCCTGATCTAATCTGAATGTTCCTGATCTGATCTAAATGTTCCTGATCTGATATGAATGTTTCTGATCTGATCTGAATCCTTCTGATCTAATCTGAATCTTTCTGATCTGATCTGATTTGAATATTCTAAAATTATAATTACAATTATAATTACTATAATTATAAATGTAATTACACATATATAATTTAAATATAATTATAATTATAATCATAATTATAAAAATTATAGGGAAAAGTACATAAAACGTACCTGTGGTTTGGGCCATTTTCAGATAGGGGCACGTGTTTCATTTTCTAACAAAGTGGGGCATGTGTTTCAATTCTGTTATCATAGCAGGGGCATGGCCTCTAACGCCGTTAGAAAAATTAACCCCGATTTTAAAAAGTCTCCGAAAAATTAAAAGAAAAATACCGGGAGGTGCGCCTTGTCAAGGAGATCAACAAACTATCATTATTTTTTTGTTTCCAGCCACCATATCTCCAGAAAGTCCACCAGAAAATTGATATTAGCGAATTTGTTTTTAAAAAATAATCCAAATAGAGCCGAAAAATTCAAAGAGAAAGATAGTTTGTTGATCTCCTTGACGAGGCGCACCTCCCAGTATTTTTCTTTTAATTTTTTGGAGACTTTTTAAAATCGGAGTTAATTTTTCTAACGGCGTTAGACGCTGTGCCCCTGCTATGATAACGGAATTGAAACACATGCCCCACTTTGTCAGAAAATGAAACACATGCCCCTATCTGAAAATGGCCCAAACCACAGGTACGTTTTCTGTACTTTTCCCAAAATTATAATTATAATTATAATATTTATTTCTATAATTGTAATTGTAATTACTCCGTATAATATGATAATAACGAAAACAAAACTAATAACAATAACAACAACCATATTAGTAGTAAGAATAATAATAATCATGATAATAATAAATATCATAATAATAATAATAATAATAATAACAATAATAATAACAACAATAATAATAAGAATAATAATAATACTAATAATAATAATATCAATAATAATATTAATTATAATAATTACAATAACAACAAGAATAATAATAATTATAATAATTATAATTATTATAATTATTATTATAATTATTATTATAATAAAAAGGATAAATCATGTTTGAACTTTTCTGATCTGATCTGAATGTTCCTGATCTGATCTGAATGTTCCTGATCTGATCTGAATGTTCCTGATCTGATCTGAATCTTTCTGATCTGATCTGAATGATTCTGATCTGATCTGAATCTTTCTGATCTGATCTGATCAGATCTGAATTTTTCTGATCTGATCTGATCTGAATAAAATAAGAATAAGCAATAAGTAATAAGATTAAGGATGTTTTTACTTGGACTGTAATTTGCTGGTCTTGTCTGGTCTGGTCTGATCTGGTCTGGTCTGGTCTAAACTGGTCTGGTCTGGTCTGGTAAGGTCTGGTTTCTTTGTATTTTTATAACTATCCAAGTCTGGTCTGGTCTGAACTGGTCTGGTCTGGTCTGGTCTGGACTGGTCTAGTCTGGTCTGGTCTGGTCTGGGACAAATTACAGTCCAAGTAAAAACATCCTAAGACGAACAGAACAGTTTCTAAGTTTCCATTTCTTTTTTTGGGATGTCCGAGGGACCAATGTTTGTGAGGGCAGGGGTGTCCCAATAGGGGTGGACTGCAACTCACTTACCTACCTGCTGTTTTGTTCCAGAGTTACAGGCGCGAAAGAAAGAAAACCGAAGAAAGACGGGGCTGAGACGAATAGGCGGAAGACCGAACACCCTGCGACCCTCTGCCGTCCACGCCGCGCGTCCAGCCGGTCTAGGAGCTACGTCATCGGCCGACGGCCGTCCTTCCTCTCCGCCTCTCTGGGCTCTGCCTCCAGCGGACCAGCTCTGGCGCAGCGCAGGTGAGTTGCTTTACTCGTTTAGATTTTTACTCTCTTGTTTGTGATTGTGTTAAACTGTATCGGAGTATTATTTTTAGCCTCTTAGAGTGTTAGGGTTAGTCCATTAGTTAGTCAATTTGATTATTAATTGAAATTTTCAGTGCATAATAAAATAGGGCAAAAATTCATTATAAATTTATAATGATTAAAAATAGAATTAAATCTTAGATAATTAATTGATAATAGGGAATACGTTTGATTATTTTAGATTATTAGTTTAACACAGCTAACAGTATTATTATTTTTAGCCTTTTAGGTTTGGGGAACATTTTGATAATAATTGAATTTTTGAGTACATATAAAATAGTGTTTAATTCATAATAAATTTATAATGATTAAAGATAGAATTAAAGATTAGAGAATGATTTATTTATTATACAATTAAAAATTGGAGAATGATTTATTTATCGTGTGGATGTGTAAGAAAGAATTGAAAATTTCAATTAAATTTTGGAATTGGGAACAATTATTAGTTTGATGTACAACACTTGTTTTTATACAAGTATTTTAATTCATACCAATATTGAAAATGTTTTTAGAATGGATAATGAACATATTGCCAAGATAGGAAAATGAAATGAATTTTTACTTAGTATGAAATTGAGATTGAGTTTGATTCGATAGATTTTCGGTGTTCGATTTTAACACACGATAAACATGCTCGAATGTAGATGTTTAGACTATACCCTTTAATAGATTCATGTTCTAATTATTCAATAAATACTCGAACCTTTACTAATCATTAATAAATTTATAAAATTGCACTTAAAATGTTTAAATTTTAAGATATACTCCGTATATAATTTATTCCTATAATTTGTAAGTGAACGATATGCTTCAGTCTGGATCAAACCAAAGATCACTATGTTGGAACTGGGCTTGAAAATCATTCAAACTCAAAACCTAGTATGTGTTTGAGTTCGAAGCTCGTTAAGCTCGGCTCATTAAATTAGAGGCAAAATTAAGCTCGGGCTTGAGTATATAATTCAAAAAAAGCTCGATTCGATAATAGCCCTGAGCTAAACCTTGTATGTATAGTAACAATTTTTGTTACTGCTTAGCCCACCCCACATCTCAATGTTGGATCCGCCCCTGGGATGTCCCATATTAAAGTTCACACTTTCATTAGAGGTAATGTTTATATGGTAAATGACATTTATATCCCCCAACTTACCCCTGATCATTTACACCCTTCCTTAGATTTTACCCCCTTTTACTATGTGCGGTAAGGGTATAAGGGGAAAGGCAATGCAAAATAAATTCCACCCAAAAACCCGTAAAGTCAAAGTGAGTATTTAAATATGGTGCAGAGGAAGTTTATCTGAACATGTGCATTTTGAAAAAAGGCTTTTGAGATATTATTTATTGTAGTTACATATCAAATTGGGCCAGTTATAAAAAATAATAATTAATGTTGATTCAATTTGTTTGAGACTTTGAGTAGCATTCAATGATTACTTTGGAGGGAACCTTTGAATGTGGAAGGTTATCTTAGATATTAAGGTTTCAGTGTATAATTGTTTTTTTATGGTTGCTTTGTGTTGTAACAGTTTGCAAGGTAGCATGCCTGCGCCATGTACTGGATTTTAGATGTGGCATTGAAAATCATAAACCAGAAAGAAGGATGACAGAAATGGATGGGCATATTTTTTAAGGCTCTCTCCTAAGGTCCCCTCCAATAGCTGGGGTGTAACACCGTCATATTTATGTGGAAAGATAGAAAGGTATGCAAATATATTCCCTGTGAAAATTTGAGGAAATTCACAATTTGAAAATACCCTGTCAATTCATGTTATCATAACAAGTTAAATGACTTGATGACATATGATTACTACTATCTGTTTTGGCATGGTGAGCAACTAAAAGTTGAGGCTTTGAAACTTTGATTAGCCGACATGAACTGATAAATTGCATTGGTAGTTTGGTACATTGGCTTGGTATCAGTAGATACAGGACACCCAAATAAGATTCTGATAATTTCATGTTTTTGCTCAAACTGTTTATGCTCACCCCTGCAATTCTTTTGTGACGTAAAATATCAGCATTCCTTGCTTATATCCATTTTCTTTATTTTGCATGTAATCATTTCGTGTTTTTGAACTTTTTTGTTTGCAATAACCAGGACAGGGTGAAGTAGAAAAGCTGAAGAGTTGCATTTTGGCCCTTGTATATCCAACTGCTATCCATTTTAAGTTGCAATTTTACTTTGGTATGAGATTTTCTGAACTCCAACTAATATACCATTTTTCGTTCCTTCAAAATGAAATATGCAATCTTTACTCCAACGACAATTTTGAAAACCTGCCGATTTGAACCCATCACAACCCCCCACACCCTGTGGATGATGTTATACGCACAATGTTCAAGACCCATCTCACAGTCTACCGCTATTTCGAAGCAGCAGCAGCGAGTGCGTGACCATGGCTTTGACAACTACATGGAGGTGGAGAAGAAAATACGCAAAGTCCTGAAATTCCAAGACCTAATCCTCACTTGGACGTGCTGTCACGCAGGATTGGGTTCAAACAACATGAAGTAGCAAAATTCATTCTCAAATTCCCCCACATTTTTGAGATATTTGAACACCCAGTTCAGAGGATTCTCTATTGCAGGTAGGGTTAACATATTAATCTAGATATATTTCATTTAAATTTGGCTATTATTGAGTATTCGTATTCGTTTGTTTTGAATCTAAAGATCAATAATGTATTTGGTTCGACTATATTATTTTGGAAAAATTGACAAGAATAATCCCACCTTTCACTGGTCTTCTCATAATAATCCCACATTTGCACCTCATCTTCTTTCATTGGACCCTGACCATGTTTTTTACTCTTTCTTTGAAAATTATACAAATAATCTCACCTTTCACCTTTTAATTATATCCTTATAAATGTGAGATTGTTTATATAAAATTTTTAAAAATGGTAAGAAAACTTGGTCAGGGTCCAATGAAAGAAGATGAGGTGCAAATGTTGGATTATTTTGGGATTATTTAAAGGTGGGATTATTATGAGAAGACCAGTGAAAGGTGGGATTATTCTTGTCAATTTTTCCTATTATTTTTATTTTACTCAAATATTCTGATATTCATATTCAAAATGCTTATACATAAATACACACAAATGTCAATCAGGATATCTGGATGTGTTGGTCATACACATATACTTGTGCGTGTGTGCGTCGTGCGTGTATGTATCTACGTATCGTGCATATATTAAATTATATATACATACACACACACATGGCATTTGAAATTTAGTTATTATTCAAATAAGTCAATGCAAACCTGTTGGTGTTATTAAAACTTTTCAAATCAATGTGTGTAGGTGTGGATGTATTTATTTACACATACACAGTATTATAATTTCAAATTTGTTTTCGAGTTCATGGAATTTCAATTGTTGAGTTTTTTGAATCAGGAATGGAACACAGTCAAATAAAAATTGATGAACAAGTTACAAAAAATTGTAGGTTCGCTCGAAAGGCTCAGTTGCAGATGTGTCAAGAAAACGAAGCCCTTTTGGCTCAAATCCCAGATGCCATCACCAGGCTAAGAAAGCTTCTGATGCTCTCAAACACGGGTCGACTCCGGCTGGAGCATGTTCGAATTGCCCGGAGAGAGTTTGGGCTGCCCGACGATTTTGAGTACTCGGTAATTCTGAAGCACCCTGAGTATTTCAGATTGTTTGATGGCACAGGAGAGAGTAGACACAAGTACATTGAGATTGTAGAGAGAGACCCAAAACTGGGGGTGTGCTGTATTGAGAAAGCAAGGGAGAAAGAGTATAGAGAGAAGGGCGGGGAGGCTGAGAATATACCGTTCTCGTTTATTGTGAATTTCCCTCCTGGTTTCAAGATTGGGAAGTACTACAGGAATGCAGTGTGGAAGTGGCAGAGGTTGCCTTATTGGTCTCCGTATGAGGATGTCTCGGGGTATGATTGTAGATCTCTTGAAGCGCAGAAGAGGATGGAGAAGCGGGCGGTTGCCACCATTCATGAGCTCTTGTGGTTGACTGTTGAAAAGAAGATAACTTTAGAGAGGATTGCACATTTCAGGATGGCCATGGCATTGCCAAAGAAGTTCAAAGACTTCCTCCTTCAGCACCAGGGCATATTTTACATCTCCACGCGAGGGAACCATGGGAAACTGCACACTGTGTTTCTCAGAGAGGCTTATAAGAGAGGAGAGTTGGTTGAACCCAACGGTCTATATTCGGCAAGGAGGAAGCTGGCTGAGCTGGTACTGTTGAGTCCTAGGAAAGCACCCAAAGTAGTGGATCATGAATTGGTCAGTAGTTATGGTTGGAGAGACGATGCCGAAGCAGCAGCTTATGTTCGAAGGGAGGACGTTGAGAATGACAGTGTCACAACAACGCGTGGTGTTGATATGAGAAATGCTGGTTCCAGTTTAGTCGATGAATCTACCGATGACATGGATCCCTTAGGCTCTGTTAGTGATGATGATGATGATGATGACGACGACGACGACGACGACGACGTTAGTGATGATGACGATGATGATGTTAGTGATGATGATGATGTTAGTGATGATGACGATGATGATGTTAGTGATGATGACGATGATGATGTTAGTGATGATGATGATGTTAGTGATGATGACGATGATGATGTTAGTGATGATGATGATGTTAGTGATGATGATGATGATGTTAGTGATGATGATGATGATATGATGATGGTGATAGTTGTAACGGGGTTGAATAGTTAACCAAGAACTGACTTAGATACCAACATGATGATCATTTAATCAATCAATAAATTACTTAATTAAGGCCTTTTTCCATATTTTTAAGAGTTGACTGGGGATGCGAGTTCAAAAATCATTTCAGCTGTCATTTCAACGTACAACAAGATACTCCGTATTTGTATGTGATTGAGTGATGATAAATGAGTAGGATTGGGCTGTAAGGCTTCCCGCAACCCGAACCCTTTGACCTCCACCGCCGCTTTCACCGTCCGTCGCCACCGTCCGTCGCCGGTCTCCGATAGCTACCTCCGTCGAAGACTCTTCGCCGTCCTCTTCATCAAGGTTATGTGTTCTAAATTTCAATTACTTTTCATTCTTATTTTTAGTATTTGATTTTCATTCCAAAAATGCATGTTATTATTAAAGTGCATGCTCTTTTGTTAAAATACACTCAAATGCATGATTATATACATGATTTAGTTTATATGCTCAATTTGATTTATGAATGATTCTTTAGTTTTGTATACATGTTTTGTGTAGTAATATGATTTAATATGTTTTATTTATATTTTTCTTTAATATTCGAAATATAATTTTTGAAATACATGTTTAATATTAAATTTCGAAATACGAATTAGTTTATACTTTTCTTTAGTTGGTATACATGTTTAATATAATTTAGTTTATTACATGTTTTATATGTTCAATAATTTTAATATGTATGCCAAAATATGATTTAATTTTAGGTTAAACAACATGCATGATTATTCAAACCTTTTTTATTTTTTTTATTTCGGCCTTATGTGTTTCTTTTATTCTTGAATTATGTTAGGTTAGTTTGGACTAATTTTTAGACTTAGAATGAAGCATGCTAAATAGAAATATTTGGACATTGTTAGGATTATTGTTTTTTATCATCTATCAAAATTATTATTCCCGAATTATTTAAAAAAATACCCCCTCATGTCAAACTTCCAAAAAAGTTTAACATGTTAATTATAAAATATTAATTTAGACATTAAAACAGTTTTCTGAAATAAAATATAAAATATAGATTATAAAAAAACAGTTTAATAAAAAAAAGTTTTTGTTAAACTGCTTAATAAAAAACGGGTTTTTATTAAAAAGTGTTTAATAAACTGTTTTTTATTAAAAAGAGTGTAATAAACAGTTTTTTATTAAACAGTTTAAAAAAGTGTTTATTAAAGACATTAAAAAACAGTTTTTAAAAAGTTTAAACTGTTTTTTTATTAGAAAGTGTTTAAACAGTTTAAAAAAAGTTTTAAAAATGTTTAAACTGTGTTTTATTAAAAACTGTTTTTATTAAACAGTTTTAGAAAAGTTTAAACAGTTTTAAAATAGTTTTTCTACGAACAGTTCAATTGAAATATTTTTAACAACAATTTTTTTTAAGAAAAATTAAAATAAGTTTTAATTTTGGTTTTTAAAAAATAGATTTTTTTTTTAAAACAAAACATTTAGTCACGGATCTGAGACGTGACTAATTTTTTTGTCCGGAATTATTTGTTAAATTTAAAATTTATTTTTTTTTTAAAAAAAAATTTAGTCACGGATTCATGACCGTGACTAATACGAAATTTCAAAACATTGAAAAAAGGAAACGCGGGTTTTTGAAAATTTCAAAAATTTGAAAACTTAGTCACGGATATTTCCGTGACTAATACGGCCGATTTTTTTTAAAAAAAATACTTAGTCACGGACACGTCCGTGACTAAAGTGCCGGAGCAGCTATTCCGGTGACAGATTAGTCACGGATCTGGTCCGTGACTAATCCGTGACTACATTTAGTCACGGACAATTTGACGTGACTAAATTTAGTCACGCCCAAACAGTCACGGAATTAGTCACGGACAGAATCCGTGACTAAATGAGTTAGTCACGGATTTTTTACACTGTGGTCCGTGACTAAATCCGTGACTACAGCCGAATTTTTTTGTAGTGAGGAACGTATTTACGTACGGTACGGGTATCCTAGAGTATCGGATACGAGAACGTATCCGATACGTCGATACGCTACCCTGGTCCCTAGGGAAGTATCCGTGCTTAGCCTCCAACTTTTTAAACTCTCAAATAGTAGTAAAGGCTAGGCATGTGATCAACCCCCATGTGCCTGGCTCTCTTTCCCTCCAAAAATCAACACCCATTCGCTCCGTTTGGGAGTAAATGTTGTAATTAAAATCTGTTCACCAAATGCGACATTTATTCGTAAACTAGACATGTTTTAGTTATCAGAAAAATCTACGGGTCTCACTTCTCTCTTCAATTTGGCGACGGTGGCTTCCGCTTCGGCTCCGGGAGGAGCAGCTGCCCGCTCCTACGCTTCCGTCATCAGCTTGGGCAAAGATGGAGCGACTCCATCAGATCTTTCCTTCGCTACTGGTAAGGATGTCGCTCTCCTACCCCCTAAAGCTCCCTCCCGTTTTAAAGGCTCCCCGGCCGTTTTCTTCTCGGAGACCGACGTCTCCACCCTCGCTGCTCAACATCCCTTTGCCTTAATAGGCTTCTTTCCTCTGGGCAGACCATCAATGATTTCTCTCAGGAAATCAATTGAAGGTCTCGGTTTTTCATACTCCTTTACTATTGGTTTGATTGATGATAAGCATGTTCTTATTGAATTTAACTGTGATTCCGATTTCCAACGCTTTTGGCTAAGGAAGACTTGGTTTTTTAGCGGTTTTGAAATCAGGGTTTCCAAATGGACTCCAGATTTCATGCCTAACACCGATTCCCCAATTACCCCCGTTTGGATTAGCCTTGACAGTCTTCCCATTCATTTATTTGAAAAATCTGCACTATTTTCAATTGCTAGTTTGATTGGAAAACCTGTCAAAATAGATGTATCCACTTTGAGGCTATCCCGACCTTCCATGGCAAGGATATGTGTTGAGTTGGATGTATCTGTTAATCTACCATCTAAAATTCGGATTGGTAATGGCTCCAATGGATTTTTCCAAAATGTTACCTATGAAGAAGTTCCCTTATTTTGCAATGGGTGCAAAACTTTTGGTCATTCTCTGAAAAATTGCAAAAAAGGGAATCCCAGTACCTCATCTATACCAAATAAGGCAAACTCCAACCAAAAATGGCTCCCTAAAACATTATCTGCTGCCAAAATTGGCCTGGGGCATCAATTAAATCATGAAAACCAGGCTGTCCTTGAACCCCCATTGACCTCCTATGATGCGGTTGAGGAGGAAAATCCTGAAGAGAGTAACACTAATGTTAAAATGGCAACTACGATTGCTAATTCTGTCCCGGTGATTGCTGTCCCTGAACTAACTGTCCCTACCAAAACAACAATCCAAGCTACAATAAATGTTGTGGAGCCTACTGAAACTGAGGTTGTTGTCCCTGAGTTGGCTGTCCATGATCTTGCTGTCCAGGCCAAAACTACATTCCAAAGTCCAATAAATGGTTTGGAACACAATGAAACTGAGCTTGAAGATCTGGAGCCTCCACCTGTCCATACTCCTCCCTGCACGCAATTTTTAGAGGATATGGTCCCTACCAATACAGTTTCACGTGATAAGGGTTTGGAAACTACAAGAGCTACTGAAATTATCCCTCCCTTGTCCAATGATGCAATCAATAACAGTAAGGCAGAAGGGTCTAAAGAGGCCTCCCCTTACAACATTCTAGCTGAGGACACCCCCTCCCAAATCAATCCTTTAAATGAAAACCAAACTATCCAACCCACTAAATATTTGGTTTATCCTGAATCTCAACAGCAAAATAGTCCTGATGACAATGAACCAGATACTCTGTCCCTTATAGACATACCGGTTGAAGAGGAAGGTTTCACTCCGGTGGTCTCGAGGAAAAATAAAAAAATTAGCCACCAAAATGAACTCACATCAAATCAAGTGCCAATAATATATACAAGGGGATACAGTCAACATATACTAACAAGGAGCAAAGCCAAGGCGGGTCAAACAGAGTTTGAATTCTATGCTTATCCAGAAGAACACAAATACGAATCGTCGCACAAACTGGTGCAAGGACTGGGCTGGTACCGCCAAGCACATCCTGAGAAGAACATGTATCCTCCATATATTCAAAGGGCGATCAAATTTCATCACAGATACAACAAAGAACTATCTATAAAGGCCGGTCTCCCCAACAATTTTAACTACTCAGTAAACTACTAGACTCTATTCTCTTTTATTTCCCTGCAGCTTATTTCTTTTACTCTTTCTCGAGTAGGCTTTGGTTTGGCCCTCCTACTCTTTGTACCTCTTTTTTATTAATAAATCGGTGAGGAATTCCCTAGCAAAAAAAAAAAAAAAAAAAAAAAAAAAAAAAATATTCGTAAACTAGACGAATACTAATGTTATTTGAAATACAACTACTCTTCTTTATAGAAAGTTTTGTTTAATGTATTCTATTAAAATGGATGCCAATCTGGTGATCTTGGGCGGTGGTCAGTTGTTTTAATTCCTACAAGACGACGCAATGGAACTTGATCGAGATGAGCCACGAGTGGGCGTCACCACAAGATACGTAATTGAACTACGTAATTGACAAGCAACGTTTAATTGAAGAACTCCTTTCCATAATTGGGATGACAAGTACCATAGAAATATCAATATACTCCCTCTGTCATTATAAGTTATAACTTTGCCAACTTTCCTTATTTTCCCTTATAAGTTATAACTTTGCCAACTTTCCTTATTTGGGTGTCCCATTAACTTTGTCACTTTTCCTTTTAAATAAAGAATTTGTGGTGCCGGTTAATTCTCTCTCCTCTGCACAAACCTCAACCACACAGTTTTTACTTTATTAACCCCGTGCCGGTCAAACTTGGCAAAGTTATTAGGGACAGAGGGAGTATTTATTATAATAATAATAATTTATTACGTAGTTTGGTACGCTAAATATAACATAAGGAGTATTGAATTATACTCCGTAATATTTTTAGTCTTTTAAGTGGATTCAAATTTTGTACGTGATCAAGTCTAATCTATTTAAATTTGATCCTGGTCTCATCCAGTTTGTATGATAGATGTGTATTTTAATGTGTAGTCTATCTCTGAGATTTGATATGAGCTTGTCTGATTTGATCCGATTTTGTCTAATTTATTTATATCAATTCTGGTCTCATTTGATCTGTTTTGGGATTGGAACTAGTTCAACTAAAAATATCCAAGTCCTTATATGGTCAGTTTAGTTTGATATGGTGGATGTGTGATATGTGTATTTTAGTATATTACTCTATTGGTTAAATTTTGTGAGCATTTTTTCATGAAGTGTACAACATTCACGAAACAAGTCATTAAAAAATTCAATCGGGAAGTCAGTTAAATAAACTATTGAAAAATACTGCATTTTTAGGCATATTTTTACACATTATTTATCATAAATTTATTTAACTGACTTCCCGATTATTTTTTTGATGGAATTTTGTGTGAGTGTTCTACACTTTATGAAAAACATGTTCACAAAAGGTCATCAAAAAATTCAACCTATAAGAC